ATATATATATTATATATAACTATTATATATATATTTATATATATATATATATATACATATATAGGTAGATACAATAAATAGGATATATATATATATATATATATATATATAGTATAGATAAAGAGATAAATAAATAGACATTAGAATGCATGTTTAGATAGGTAGATAAATAAATAGACAGATAGATAAAGAGACATGCATATTAAATTTTTTTCTTTCTCTCTTCCGGCAGACCTCAAAATGTTGTGGGAACCTTCAGGATGCTGCTGCTTCACTCTCAGGACTGGGAGTCTGGTGTTGGCTTCCATAGTAATAGTACGTAATTATTGATGTTACATTGTTTTTTACTGTATATTCTGTATATTAACAATACCTATGAAATAATAATGAAAATGTTTCATACGTGTTTGTTAATTGAAAGAGCAGAGAAAGATGTAAATGTAGTTTATCTTTTTCAGTAATATTTTTATGTTTAGGATATTTAGATATTACTGAGAATTAAGATGTGTGTGTATTTTATGGATAAGCAGTTAATGTGGTTTATCTATTTCAGTTTTTTGGAACGTGCAGCATGCTCACTGGGTACCTTGCGATTTATGACTTAGACAAGAGTTTTCAAGAAGTTTGCAAGAATGAGGAAGATATCCAAGACTGCATAACAACTGTTAAGAGGGCTAGTATGTTACTCTTGCTTCTCATTCTTTTGATTGTATATATGCAGGGACAGTGTTTAATTGTGTGTTTAATACTTTATTAGTTATGTAATTTATAAGTATCTTATAATGTGCTGACTGGCTATATACTTGGTAAGGACTGAATTTCAGTCAAAGGAATTGCTGCCAAGAAAATCTGTGTTACATGAGTATCACCGTATTATCCATTTGAATGTAACTTTGATGATTATAAGACATTTAACTTCAAAATTCCTTTGCACATCAAATTCCCTCTTACAGGTTATGGGATCATTGGAACCAGGTTTGTGGTGGACTTCATTCAGGTGACATTTAGCATCCTCCTGATCCATGGTGTCCTTAAGGTAAGAGCAGGATTTGTCATTTCTTAAAAACTAGTTATAAGGTTCCTCAACATTCTTTACATTGTCTGTGTTTGTTAAGTATTTATATGTATATTAAAATGAAAGGGTTATATATTGTCAAACAATTTATTATTAAGTAGCTTACTTACTGTAATTATGAAGTTCATGGAGCATAATAATAGTCCATTTGTAATTTGACTACTAAAATTTATTTTCCAATTGCAGAACAAGACTCGTTTCCTGGTACCCTACATGATCATGATGTTGGTTGGCATCAGTATTCTAATAATAATGGCTCTGATACTGATGGGCATACTGATATATGAGGGCTTTTGGAGGGGAGTGTTCATTGCTGCCATTATCTTTGGTGCTATTATCTTCCTCGAAACTTACTTCCTCTTGGTGGTTCGTGCTCTTTATCTCCAGGTATGTTAAAGTCCTTCCCCCTCCCCAACACATAAGCACACCTACAGACACATACACACCTACACAAACAAACACATTATCACACGCAGACACACCTTCTGTGCGTCGTGTGGTGTTTGGCATCCCGCTTGGTATTTCTTTGGTTATTTGTGATCCCACCTCTGTGTGTGTGTGTGTGTGTGTGTGTGTGTGTGTGTGTGTAGTGTGTGTGTTGTGTGTGTGTGTGTGTGTCACTG